GTGTGTACAGAGCTTTATTTTTATTTTCAATACTTTGCATTTTAAAATCAACCTCTAAATGTCTGTTCAGTAGTCCGTATAACATGACCATTTTAATTTGTGGTGCTTCTAATTAAGTGATAAAAAGCAGTTGCAAATGTTGTACAAAATAAATATCACAACTACACATCTTTGCACCAATAAACGTGCAACACTTTGTTTTTCTACCAAATTATATGTAATATCTAATTATTATATTAATATTTAACTTGCATTGGAAAGGTTTCCGTGACCTCTCGCGAGATCCCAGAACATGATGCATGATGGGATAATGGAAATAGTGTGGATTTAGTGTGCGTTAAGGGCACTGCGTTTTGTCATTTTTAAGACCTGGGACAGTCTTGCACACTTACTTCCTGTTGCACACACATGCTCTCAAGTGGCCAAGACTGCAAGTGTGAGTATTTGGACAAGGCATCGGTCAGTGTTTGAATGAATCAGCTAAGTGACAATTCTGAATGAATCCTGAACGAATCGTTTGAGTGAATGAAGTAGAGTCATAAAGATTATTTCGCTTATTTCATTCCTGAGTGAATCATGCTGAATTCAGAACCACATACTACTCTTACTATTTTTACCATATCCCCTATCCACAAAGGTCTTAAACTGGAACAGAATTTTTTAATTCATAAAATCACGGCATTAAATGTTGCATTGTTTCAAGAAATGAATATCTCTGTCAGTATTTTTTATTTGTTTTCCAATACAAGTATCTAAACATCCTTAAATCAAGATACATTTACTTGAGATGCAAATTGAAGTTATGAAATCTTGTTTTCTGAGCATTTGAACAAAATTATTTTATGCTTAAAACAGAAACCGATATCTGTCAATGGGGAATGAAAACTAGTGTTCACTTTGAATTAAATACATTTTTCTGAGCCCATTGGCAGATATTTATTCTTATTTTAGTCATAAACTCATGTCATTTTGATACATTTCTCAGAAAAGTAAATATGTTTCAAGTAAATATATCTATCTTTAGACACTTTCAAAATATCTAAAGAAAACCGTGGACTTGGCAACACTGTCAGGAATGGGTTGAGTGAATGAGTCAATGACGCATTCATAAAGGCAGTCACTTATATATACAGTATATATATATATATATATATATATATATATATTTGGGATCAGTAAGATTTTTAATGTTTTTTTAAAGATGATTCTTATGCTCATCAAGGCTACATTTATTTGATTAAAAATACTGAAAAAACTGGAATTTTGTGAAATACTATTGCAATTTAAAAGAACAGTTTTCTATTTTAATATATTTTAAAATATAATTTATTCCTGTGATCAAAGCTGAATTTTCAGCATTATTACTCCAGTCTTCAGTGTCACATGATCCTTCAGAAATCATTCTAATATGCTGATTTATTATCAGTGCTGGAAACTGTTGTGCTGCTTAATATTTTTTTGGAACCTGTGATACTTTTTTTCAGGATTCTTTGATAAATAAAAAGTTAAAAAGAACTGTTTATTCAAAATAGAAATTTTGTGTTACAATATACACTATTCAAAAGTTTGGGGTCAGTAAATTATTTTGTTTCTTTTTTTTTTTAAAGAAATTATTACTTTTATTAAGCAAGGATGTGTTAAATGGATAAAACGTGATAGTAAAGCCGTGTATTGTTAGAAAAGATTTCTATTTTAAGTAAAAGCTGTTATTTTTAACCTTTTTATTCATGAAAGAATCAAAGAAAAAAGTATCACAGTTTCCAAAAAAATATTAAGCAGCACAACAATTTCAACACTGATAAATCAGCATATTAGAATGATTTCTGAAGGATCACGTGACACTGAAGACTGGAGTAATGGCTGATGGAGTGCCATCTAGAGTTTCATGCCAGAACTCTGTATATATATATGTATGTGTGTGTGTGTGTGTTCTGTGTGGTTATTAGGGTGTTGCAAGGGTGTATGTGTGGTTGCCAGGTGTTTTCTTCCTGTGTGGTGTGCAAAGAGTCCTGTACCCTATTGTTGGTACAGTAATAGTTAAGAATCAGCTATTGGAAATGTGTTTCTATGATGGTTATGGTCTAGTACTTTAGGCATGAAGTGGAAAATATGATTTCAGCAGTAACCTTTTCATATGAAATAACACAAATCTAAAAATGGGACACACACACACACCTTTTCCTTTACCTTTTGTGATCAGCGCCCTTGATAGTGATCTGAAAGGACTTGAGTGAATTGCGCTGGCTGGGTTCCAGCGGCTCCATGCGTCTCTGCAGAGGTTTGGCAGTAGTGTGCGAACAGTCGTCTAGAGTTCGGCAGGTTTAGCGCGTTTAACCAAACATATGCTGCGTGGTAATTAGGGCGATAATGCGCCACATGCCGACTCTCAAGCACTTGACAGACCACCGTGCCTCTTCCTCCGGCTCTCTTCATTTCCCATCTCACACACACACACACACACACACACACACACAGAGAGTGGCGTGATGATATATGGATTGGTTAGCGCTTATTGATTGGTGAATAATGACCAGATGTGACTCAGCTGGGAAAGATGCAGATGGCAGCAATGAACGCAAGAAAGCATGTGTGTGTGCATAGAGCAGATGTTAATATCACCAAATGAAATACTCAAGTCTAGTCTCAGCCTCATATAACAAAGATCAGCGCCCTTGATAGTGATCTGAAAGGACTTGAGTGAATTGCGCTGGCTGGGTTCCAGCGGCTCCATGCGTCTCTGCAGAGGTTTGGCAGTAGTGTGCGAACAGTCGTCTAGAGTTCGGCAGGTTTAGCGCGTTTAACCAAACATATGCTGCGTGGTAATTAGGGCGATAATGCGCCACATGCCGACTCTCAAGCACTTGACAGACCACCGTGCCTCTTCCTCCGGCTCTCTTCATTTCCCATCTCACACACACACACACACACACACACACACACACTCACACACACACACACTCTCTCTCTCACACACACACACACACACACACACACACACACACAAAGAGACGGTGGGAGTGAGTCAGTTTGTGTGAAAGTGAACCATGTGGCGGTTAATTACTTCAACTAGCTCTCACCACGCAGTAGCGTCTGAGCATAAATATTGATGAAGTGCTGACAGAAATATGTTTCCTAGTGTCAACAAGCAGTTTTCTGCGCGGGCCGGAGCGCTGGTGTTTCCTCAACTTCACACCAGCGCTAATTTCCCTTTGTTAGTAAACTGGTGTGATTATTAGTATGCAGAGGAGACACTGACTCATTCAGCCGTCATATGAATCATCTGCTCTGCAGTCCGGCCTCGCTCTGTTCGCACTAAATTCCCTCTCGGATTTCACTCATAATCTCAGGACTAGCTGAGCGCGTCGTTTCTGAAGTTTGATTAGAAAGTGAGCTGAAGCAGATAGATTAGTTAAACACTACTCTACATCCAGTTTAATGCTGTGTTTAAAAGCCTCACTGGATATAAAATTAGTTTAGCTA